AGCCTTGAATTTATTGTTCCCTCTCTCAGAAACTCTCATCCACTGAATCTTTACACTAGGGGTGTCGAACTCAATCAGAGAAGGGGCCAAAATCTAAAATCCAGCCTAAATCGCGGGCCGAATGGTTTACTGAACAGTCATAAACTGTCATTGTGATGGAAACGCAGCAGAGTGCAGTGATGACAGCGCGGTGCGGGCCACATTGCAAGGCCTGGCGGGACAGATTTGGCCCGCGGGCCTTGTGTTTGACACATGTGCTTTACACAGATGGCTCCTTATCATTCAGATCTCTGCTTAGATATTACTGCTTCATTAAGACCTTTTCCAATTGATCTCCTTAATGAAATTAGATACCTGCCCATCAATCCTCATTACATAACCCTGTTTATTTCACACTCTGAAATTATCTCCTCTATTCACATCTTACTGTATCCTCTCTGTAAAAGTTATTCTTAAGCGTATAAAGCTCATCTGTTGTGTCCATAACTGCCTCACCAGTGTTTAGAATACTGTCCAGCCCACAGCAGATGCTATATACTTTTTAGAATAAATTAGTAAGATGCATCACTACAAATTTCTTTTTTTAAATAGAAATGGGATGAGGAGTTAAACATGAAATTTTCAGCCTCACTTTTAATATAGCTTTGATTCTGATTTTCACTAACCATGGTATTTACAAATATATAAAATGAAAAATAGTTTTCAGATTCAGCATTAACTACTTAGTGGATAAGATGAGATTAGGCAGATTTGGGTATATATTATCATTAAGTTTTCATAGCAAGTGAAGTATAATTTTAGAGGTGATAAAACTAAGGTTTGGGAAAATTGACTTGCTCAAACTTATATAGCTACTGAGTTAGTAAACCAGGGCATGGCTGGCACTCTGTAGATTGGGTGGATGAATTAGGATGTGAACCTTGATCATCTAACTCTAAATCCCATCCCATCCTTGTTATCATGGTGATATGAAAGACTTCCAAAATCATTGAACTCCTGATCCAGGTAGTAAATACCATAAACTTCAAATGTTTGGTTCTAACCAAACATATCTAAACAAATGACACTTAGCTGCTTTCAAACCTATGTGAAAATCAGGCTCCTAAATAGAGATATATCAAATGACCAGAGTCTCATTTCTGTAGTATCTGTATCACTTTAGATGCAGCTATTAAATATATTAATTTTATATTTAAATTTACTAATTAAAAATAGTTTTCTGAATATGTCAGAGTTAGTAGCACAAAAACCTGATTTTCTGCAGTCTTAATACAAAAACCCAGTAATTTATCTTTAATAGATAGAACACTGACCTTGAGGTACTACAATAGGCCTAAAGACAAAGCACAATATTTTAATCAACCAGGAGATGAGGAGTAATTACATTCTATGGTTAAAATTAGTAAAGTGAATTAGCCAGAATTAACAACAGTATTCCATTAAAAAGAAAAGATTACTCCCCCATTAATTCCAGAAACTTAAAAGTTTTCCACTTCACCTTCACTGACATTGAAAAATAGAATATACACTCCATGCTAAAACAGCTTGATCATTATGAGTGTAAAGAATAAAAAGAATAACTTTCCTTGGTAGAATGAACTACCTTGGGAGGTGGTAAGGTGGTAAATATCCTATAACTAGAGGCTTTCCAGCAGATGACAAATTCCCCTTTAGCAGGGCAGCAGTAGAAGAGATTTAAAACAAAGAATTAATGCCCTGGTAGCCATTAAAATGAACTTTAATCCTCTGATTCTTTGGTATTTAGATATTTTTATTATTAAATATATTTTTATTGATTTCAGAGAGGAAAGAAGGGGGAGGGAGAGCAAGAGATAAAAGCATCAATGATGAGAATCATTGATTGGCTGCCTCATGCATGCCCCCTACTGAGGATCAAGCACACAATCCAGGCACATGCCTTTGACTGGAATAAAACCCAGGATCCTTCATTCTGCAGGCAATGCTTTATCCACTGAGTCAAGCCAGCTAAGGCTGATAATGTGGTATTTTATGAGTTCTCCAGGAAGATAAACTCAGAACCATCACTTATAAAATAAGGACCATGGACAGCATCTAAATTATTTTGAACAATGACAAGTAGAAACCCACAATGACCAACTGGTTTTCAGGCAAAAGAATGTTAGACTCTTAGTAATGAAATACAGGCATAAACCCAAGGAAACCCTCAGAACTCTCTGTAATAGAGTCTACCACTTCAATACAATAAATATAAGGACTTATAATTAATTATAATGGACTGAAAATCAACTATTTGCTGAGTAGTACTGATATGCGAAACAGCAAGCTCCCGGACTCTCCTTATGGGATCTTATCCTATAAAGATTAAAGAATAAAATTTGCAGACTGAAATAATTTTAGCAAAACTGTGGAAGTTTATTGCAAGCATATACAAACTCCCCCTGTGAAGGAGTACTCAAAATAGGAGAGCTCTCTCTCTCTAAAATGGGGGGGAAAACAATCCTGTCCAGTGAGTCTCTTTGACTATGGGTTTATAAATGCTGTTAACTCTTTGTTCATCCACTTTCTAATTAGACCCTATCTTTTTTCATGTCCCCTGTGCTCTCCTAATTGGTCATTTTCCCTACATAGTATCAGTTCCAAAGTTTCAAAGCCTACCTGGTGCCCTCTCTTCTTCTTCCCCTTACCTTGAAACATTTCTCTGTCCTCTGTGTATGTAAAATAAATAACCTGGCAGCTTGAGCTATCTCTGCCCATTATGTATATATTCCTCTCCCATGGACCTCCCTTCCATAAAACTGTTTTTCCTGCCTGTAACCTTCTTTCAGTAATAAGCATTTTCATAGTCAGGATCTCTACCTAACTAACCTGTAAGATAAAGAAACTAAAGTTTTTATAATTTAAATAGCATAGGCTAGAAATATGGTTTCCCATGGAGAAAAACAAACAAACAAAAGTTTCCTGAAATATTTGCTAGCATTATTATTGATTTCAGAGAGAGGAAGGGAGAGGGAGAGATAGAAACATCAATGATGAGAGAAAATCATTGATCAGCTGCCTCCTGCAGGAAATTGAGTCCACAACCTGGGCATGTGTCCCTGACCAGAATCAAACCCAGAACCCTTCAATCCACAAGCCGACACTCTATCCAGTGAGCCAAACCAGCCAGGGCAGCACTTATTTAATTTAGCTGCTTGACAAGTTGGCACATTTGTATCCTACTAAGGCCTGATGACTTCATTTTCAGGAAGCAAAAATACTCTCTTGGACAGCCAGGAAATCTAAAATTTTGTTTTCTAAGTATTCAGGAGTCCAGTATGGATGTTTACCTTCTTTCTCCCCTTTTGGAGAAGAACAACAATGCTACTGCCAAATTAGAGGACTTCCTTTCCTGGAAGCACATTTAGCATATTTTAACCATCTCAAATAGTTTCAATACCACCTTCTATGTGAAACAAAAACATTTTTCATCAGAGGAAAATACGGTCTTTTAAAAACCTACTTGATAAACTGATCTCTAGTTCAATTCAGCTCTAGGTTCCATGGCTTTCTTATAAAAGGAAAGACAATTCAACATACAACCTCTCTTATTTTCACTGAATTCCTCACAGCAGTGATCAAAATTCATAATTAGGACTGACTCAGAACTTTGTCCAAGTCTCAAGGACAAGTCAACACTAGGAGGCTCAATCAATTAGCAATGCCAGAAAATCTGTCCAGGTTATAAATGATAAATCAACAGAGACACCATTCTTCATTGAATATTAGAAGACATATCATCTTATATTTGAAAGCTATATGAAGGCCCATGGGGCCATATGAAAGACAGTCATCTCTGCTTGCTAGATTTAGAAAAAAGACATGAAGAAACATCACTGAAGGTCAGTTGCAAAAAGCCTCAATATATTCAATTTCTACAAAATAATCTCCCAAAAGTTTTATGTGTGCTTTAAATACTTAGTTAATGTTCATAAAAATAATATCTGTGATTTGTTTTCTTGTCTTCATAATTAAATTTGGTGTCTTTATAAATAAAATGAAGAATGGAACCCCAATTTATTATATCATTGAGCTATAATAAAGGGTCACCTTCTGACAATTGATCAGAAATAAATTAAATCTGAGGTTGCCAATTAGTAAAATACTTGTACTTGGAAATACACATAGTTTTCACAAGCCCAAGTCCTTGGTTCTTAGTTTCACAAACTCAAGCACAATGGCCTCTTTTACATTGACCTGTAGATGATTTTGATTCCTTGTCTTGAATAAAAACACAAGATGATGCCAAAAGCCTTTTGGCTCAGTGGATAGAGTGTCAGCCTGCGGACTGAAAGGTCCATAATCAATTCCAGTCAAGGGTATGTACCTTGGTTGCAGGCACATCCCCAGTGGGAGGTATACAGGAGGCAGCTGGTCATGTTTCTCATCGATGTTTCTAGCTCTCTATCCCTCTCCCTTCCTCTCTGTAGAAAAATCAATAAAATATATATATATTTAAAAACAACACAAGATGATAATTTTTAAAAAGTACAATTGAAGTAGTTTTTATATTGGTTAGGGGAAGGTATTAAACACACACACACACACACACACACACACACACACACACAAAAAAAAAAAAAAAAAGAAAGAAAGAAAGAAAGAAAGAAAGAAAGAAAGAAAGAAAGAAAGAAAGAAAGAAAAGAAAAAACAGGGTCTAAAAAACACACCAAAGCATAGTGTGAGGTTTATTCTGAAAGAGACCTGAACCAGATAAGAGAGAAGTGAGGTTGCTTACAAAAAGGTTCTGTGATCACTGGCAACTTAAGAATACACACCAAAACACAGAAAACAAAAATTTCAAAATGAAAACATAGTGACTCAAAATGACACGCAGTCAATGTCAGCTCAGTAGCAGGGGAACCCTGTATGCTGACCAGACCAAAGCAAAAATTAGATTATGTCCCAGAGAACAAGACATAGCTTGCCCTATGTCTTGCTGTTTCTAAATGTAGAAACAAAGAGAACACTCTAACACTTACACTTGTCTTCTTGTCAGTTTCATTTCCAAAAAACCAATTGTCTTCATTTTGTTCAATATATGAAGCATTTTCCTTTGGTCCACTGCAACCTGTAAGCTAAAGAAATAAAAAGTTATAAAACATCAGTACTTCCTTGTTTTCTGCAATGTGAAAGAAATATTTTACAATTTTTAACATGCATATTATAATGTCTAAGAACTGAATATTATTAAATATTGCTTGTGTCTGTTTTAGAATAGGAATACACTGTTTAACCACTATTTTTATTATTGCTCCCAAAGAGAAAACATAAAATGGGACAGTTATTCAAAGACAAGCTTTTCTTCAGGGAGTGTTGAGCTTGGATCGTTCAAATGCAAATTGATGATCTGCTAGAAGCTAAACGTGGTTAATAGGAAGATGAAGATAGAAGAGTTGATTGCATTTCATCTAAGTTCCCATACTGTAGTACCCTCTGGAGTCCACAGTACAGGCAGAGGCACTGAGTGACTTTGTTCTGGGTTATCCTTTCAAGGACCTTTCTATGACTACAGCTTTGGATGACTGAAATAATGTTCGCTCATTGGCCATTGTAGAAGATTGTGTTCCCTAAACTCAGGGTTAGTCTCCATTGTGTGCAAATGTCTCACTTAGCCACCTTTGCCTTGTCCTGTAAGAATTAAGGGCTTGAGGAATTGGTTCAAGAAAATGCTGTCTAGCTATTGCTATTGTTACAAATAATAAAGCCATTAGTCTTTGCCCTAGTAGTCTACTGAAAGCACCCATAAAATTGTGGCAGGGTTTCTGGATTGCAAGAAGGGTAAAATCCTAGACCCTTCACAGTTCTTGTCAGTTATGGTGACAAGAACAGAATGTTGAGAGTTGTGGCTTTCTGGATCCTATACCCTCAGCCATTCCAAACATTTCTAACGTCATCCATTCCACTGACTGATAGCACTTGGGATGTAATCTTTCCAACATCTTTTTTGTATCCCACTGGTGGTCAAGGTCCAAAGCCAATGTTTACTCATATGGCAAGGCCCCACTACATTTACAGGGCTTCCTCAATACCTAAACTCCTCTGCGATCTGCCATAATGTTCAATGTGGTTACTATATTGATGATGCCCTGTTAGTTGGCAAGTCAGAAGACTCGGCCTGCAGAAGTGGAAACTGAACTGAGAGAATTAAGGGCCAATCTGGGCAAATTCCCTCTAGATATCAAAGAAAAAACTGTGTGTGTGTGGTTTCAACCTCAAAAAATAGATCCAATACTATATTGGTCTCTAAATATTGGAGAGAATATTGTTTTACATGGACATTTGACTGGATCTTTATTGTCATCTCATACACAAATAAGCATCCTTAAAGTGAGGTCCAAATCAATAGGCTGTATTGGAGGCTCTGGCAAGCTGTGGCATGCTCTCTACCTTTTAGCCCTACAACATTGGGGCTAATTTACTGGGAATTTATGAGTAAGAGAGACAGCTTCCACCCCAAAACCCCCTGAAGCCAAACCCTGGCTCAATGGGGTCCTCAAGGCTCAGGGGTTTACATTAAATGCTCTGGCCTGCTTCACTAAAGGTTTAGTTAACCTGAAACCAATGGTGTCCACTGGGATGCTGAAGTTTACTCTCAGTTCTAGCTACTCAGAACTGAAATGAACATGGTTCCTCCACTCAGGGGCAGAACCCAAGGCTGTTCTCACAGCTCTGACCAATATGCTTCCTGAATCTTAATACCTTAACTGCCTTTCTATGCTCTTGTATCCCCACCATTATTCCTTCCACTGTTAACATCCCATCAATTTGGCTTTCATAGAAATAATAATTTTATTCTGTACTTCATTCTTGTAAAAATACTTTTGATTACTCTTGCTCCAAAACCAGCATTCTATTTCTGACCTTCTTCTCAGAATCAACATTCTTAAAGGACATATTAGTTGTAATGTAACACTAAATATAATAATTTTATATAAAAAAACAAATATAATAATTTAATGAAGCTAGTCATGCTAACCTGACTAGCTTAGGAAATTAAAAAGCAATTCGTTGTGGGTAGTCATGTCCTAGGCTGGTATCATCCCTGACAAAAGTCAATCTTTACCTTAACAACCTAATTGAAACGTCAAAGTGATTTTCCTTTTTTCCAGAGCCTCCAAGCACAAGCACCCCTAGTTGTTATTGAGCTCATTGTTGACTTTTAAATATCCTGCACTCACCTAAGTAAAAGTATGTGCCTATCATTTTAACCTTTATCCAATCCCAGAAGTCCTCCTCACCCCCATAGGCTGTTTAATGTGCTCTTTACCCTATTTTAAGCATTTCCTGCATCTTAGATACCCTTCCTATACTACCGTATTTTTCGGACCATAAGACACACTTTTTCCCCCCCAAAAGTGGGGGGGGGGGGGGGGAAAGTCCCTGCGTCTTATGGTCCAAATATAGCCTACACATATACTTTTAAAAAAAAGTTTTTTTACTTGCCCGGCTCTGTGTGGTCTCTGTGTGCTTGCCCGGCTCTAAAATGGTTCTAAATGCTGCTGTTTACTTTACAGGGTTGATTACATGTGTTTATGACTGTGATGTTGGGTTTTAATGCACATAAAATATTTTAGGACACTATTTGTTTTAGAATCTTTTTTTCTTCATTTTCCTTCTCTAAAAACTGGTGCGTCTTATGGTCCGGAGCGTCTTATGGTCCAAAAAATACAGTAACTCTTGACACAGAGAAGTCTTTTCCACCTGTTCTATATGATTCTCACATTTTCCTGTTACTTTCTCTGAATTTCTAGCGGTTTCTCCCAGTGTCCTATAATTTGCATTCTCCTTTAAGTATAAGCATTGCCCACATGTACAAACAACTTCCTACACTCTGTTCTGAACATGAGAAGCTCTGTAACATTGTCTCTCAACTATGTTTTAGGGTTTAATGCAACTTTGCAGTGGAGTCTAAGGCTTTCCAAAGTTGCTTAAATGTGCTTATTTTTCTATTTCAAGAATATTCTGCAATGTATGACACACATTTACAGTTCTAGGCTTCCTTAAGTAAATAATAGAGGTTTTATAGACAGTTTAATATGCTCTTTACTCTATTTTAAGCATTTCCTGCATCTTAGATACCCTTCCTATACTAACTCTTGGCACCAAGAAGTCTTTTCCACCTGTTCTATACAAGTTCTTACTTTTTACTGATACTTTCTCTGAATTACTAGTGGTTTCTCACAGTGTCCTATAATTTGCATTATTCTCTAAATTTAAGCATTGCCCTCATGTACAAACAACTTCCTACACACTGTTCAGAACCTGAGAAGCTCTGTAACATTGTCTCTCAACTATGTTTTAGAGTTTAATGCTACATTGCAGTGAAGTCTAAGGCTTTCCAAAGCTGCTTAAATGAGTTTATTTCTCTATTTTAAGGATATTCTGCATTGCATGATACACATTTACAGTTCTAGGCTACTTTTAACTGAAAAATAGAGGATACACAGACTGTTTAATGTGCTCTTTATCCTACTTTATGGACTTTCTATATTTTAGATACCCTTTCTACACTAACTCCTGACTCTGAGAAGTCTTTTCCACCTGTTCTATACTATTATAGTTCTTACCTATGTACTGTTACTTTCTCTGAATTACTCATGTTACCCCCCCCCCCCACACACACACACACACTTTGCTTTCACCCGCTTCCCTAATCTATCGCAAATGGAGTTCATATAACCCAATTATGTCTCTCCTTTTGATTGTAATGTATAAAATAAGGTGCAAACTGCCATTCTCCAGAGCATTATCTCAATACCTTGAGATTCTGCTTCCTGGCAATTGTCAACAATTTGACTCAAAAAAACTCACAGAATTTCTTTACGGGTTTGAATGTTTCTTGTGTTAACATAAGCTAGGTGTTTGGAGGATATGGGTAGTTTATGTCCACTTATCTCATTTAGAATAAAACAGAAACTTAGAAAGTAAACAGTATCATCCTTATTTCCCAAATAAGAAAACAGAGCCTAGTTCTATCTAACCACTGCGCTAAACTCTGGCACCACTTTCTTACCCCCTCACTTATCCTTTAACCTTTCAAAATGTGGTGCCCAGACTAACAACCATCAGCATTACCCAGAGACTTGCTAGAAAGACACATTCTTGGGCCTCGCCCCCAACCTACTGACTCCGAAACTGTAGGGGTGAGAACTGCAATCTGTGTTTCTTGTGTGATTTTGACACATCCGAGTTTGAAAGCCACTGATCTAGATGTCAAGGTGTCAAATGATGGCAAGTGCTTAAAATAAATAAAGTGAGCCACCAGGTGTAAGAAATATTTAGGAAGAGATGGATAGTCCTTGGCAGAAAGGAGAGCTCATGCCCTGTCTAATAAGAGCAATCTCTAGTCATTTCCAAGCATGTTCGTTGCAATGAGAAAACCCAAACCCAATGCTGCAAGATGTTTAAAATTTTCAAGACAACTTGGAAGTCTGAACTTTTATGTGAAATACCTTGATTTTTAAAGGTGGACAAAAAGCATATATTTTTAAAATACCATATGCGCTAAGTCAGAATAGATCAAACAAAATACAAACTCAGGCAGGAGTCTGCACAGGGCAGCCACTTGCGCCTTCCGCTTCAGTCCCTGAATGCTGCCATTTTCCCCCTGAATACTGACCTGACTGCAAGCTTACAGCTCACCAAGGACCTTCTAGTCTTCACTGTTTTCCACTTTCTCTGACTTTCAATAGTCCTCCCCATCTTCCTTTATTTTTCCTCTGGCATTTAATATCATTACTACTTCCTGCTCCTTGAAACTGTTATCTCCTAGTTGACACCCTATCTTTAGGTGATTGATTACTCCTTTTATTTCCTCTTCCTCTTTTTAGCACCGGAGCTCAGCTGTTTTTCCTTTCCTCCATCTCTTCTCACTCCCAGAAGACTCAAGTCTAAAGAATCTGTCCCCCAATTTCTAGTCTTACACTTTCAGTTACTTGCCTGTATTACCTCCGAAACTCACATTGGTACCTCAAATCTGTTCAATATAAATGGAATCATTTTCTCTTCAGAACCCACTTCTACTCCTGGGTACTCCATTTCTGTCACTTCGCAATATTTTAAGAACTATATATAT